AGCTTCCAACAAATGATGCTGAAATAATTGGACATTGGCATTTTTTAAAAAATGAATTTTTGTTTAATGTTCTGGACTGAATTGTGTCCTTTCAAAATTAATATGTGAACCTTAACCCTCAGCACTTCAGACTGTCAACGTATTTGGAGATACAATATTTAAATAAAAATGAGACTATTAGAGTGACTGTGATGTAGTACATTTTTAGAAGAAGAACATATTTGAACACAGAAACACTAGGGCTGTGCAGTTACAGAGGAGAGGTCAGTGAGAAGTTGGTGATCTGTAAGCCAAGAAGTGGGCCCAACAAAAACCAATCCTGCCAACATCCTTTAACATTTATAAGTAATCTCTATACATTTAATATATAAAATGATATATATTATTGACAGTAATTGTACACATTTATGGTGACACTTCAATAATATGTACAATGTGTAATGATCAAATCAGGGTAACTGGCATATCTAAAACCTCAGATTTAGTAGTTTGTGTTGGGTACATTCAAAATCCTTCCTAATAGCTATGTTAAAACAGTCAATTAACTGTTGCCAGCCATGGTTTTACTGTGCTAGTATTCCTCCTGTCCAATAGTACTCCTACATGAGTTAACTGTTCCCTTTCTTTTGCTCCAACCACACCATTCCTGGGTCCAGTAACCACTATTCTATTCTGTACTTCCTTGGAATCAATTTTTTAGCTTCCAAACATAAGTGAGAACACATGGTATTTGTCTTTCTGTGCATGGCTTATTTCTATTTGTTTAAAGATTTATTTATTTGAAAGGAAGAGAAACAGAGAGAAGGAAAGAAAGAGAGAGAGAGAGAGAGATCTTCCATCCACTGGTTCACTCACCAAATGGCTGCAATGGCCATGGCTGGGCCAGTCTGAAACCAGGATCCAGGAGCTTCTTTTGGATCTCCCACATGGGTACAGGGGCCCAAGCACCTGGGACATCTTCTGCTGCCTTCCCAGCTGCATTAGTAGGGAGCTGGATCAGAAATGGAGCAGCCAGGATTTGAACCTGCCCCATATGGGATGCTGACAGGGCAGGCAGAGGCTTAACCTTCTGTGCCATAGCACTGACTCCATCTTATTCCAATTAACATAATGTTTGCCACTTCCACCCCTGTTGTACAAATGACAATTTCAAACTTTTCGTGGCTGCATAATATTCCATCTTGCATATATACTACATTTTCTTTATTCACTCCTCAATCAATGGATACTTATGTTGGTTCAGCATCTTGGCTTGTGAATAAAGCTGCAATTAGCATAACTGTGGATATATACCTAGGAATGGGATTGCTGGATCATATGATAGTTCTGCTTTTATTTTTGAGGAAACTCACATTGTTTTCCCTAATGGCTGCATTAATTTACACTCCTACCAGCAGTGTATGAGTTCCCCTTTTCTTCATCTTTGCCAGAATTGGTTGCGTATCATCTATTTGATTTCTAGAGTAATATGATATTTGTTGTGGTTTTGATTTGCATTTTCCTATGATTGGTAATGTTCAGCATTTTAAAATATTTTTTTATTTATATGAGGGGAAGAAATTCATGTATTTTCTATATACATATTTAGGAGCATAGTGATACTTCCCAGCTAACCCTCTTTCCCACCCATACTCCTACTCTCCCTCCCCCTTCCTTTCTTATTCTTTAATTTTTACAATGATCTACTTTCAGTTTATTTTATAACAATAAGCCCTCCTCCAAGTAAAAAATTCAACAAATAGTAAGAAGAAAAAAAGTACTGTTCCTCAATAGTAGAGAAAAGGGTGGAAACAATAATCAAATCTCAAAATGTTAATTTTTCTCATACATATTGCATTTTTTGTACTCTATTAGTTGCTACAGATCAGGGAAAACATATGATATTTATCTGTTTGGGACTGGCTGATTTCACTAAATATAATGGTTTTCAGTTGCATCCATTTTGTTGCAAAAGACAGGATTTCATTCCTTTTTATGGCTGAGTAGTGTTCTGTAGTGTATTTATACCACATTTTCCATAGTTTGATGGACATCTGGATTGACTCCATATCTTAGCTATTATGAATTGAGATGCAATAATATGGGGGTACAGATAACTTTTTCATATGCTAATTTCATTTCCTTTGGGTAAATTCCCAGGAGTGCGACGGCTGGGTGATATGGTAGATCTATTTTCAGATTTCTGAGGCATCATCATACTGTCTTCCACAATGGCTGTACTAGTTTATGTTTCCAACAACAGTGGGGCAGGATATCTTTCCCCCCACATCCTCACCAGTATTTATTGCTTGTTGATTTCTGTAAGAACCATTCTAGCTGGGGTGAGGTGAAACCTCACTGTGGCTTTGATTTGCATTTCCCTGATGGCTAGTGATCCTGAGGATTTTTTTCTTGGGTCTGTTGGCCACTTGAATTTCCTCTCTTGAAAAATGCCTGTTCAAGTCCTTTGCCCTTTTCTTTTCTTTTCTTTTCTTTTGGTTTGTTTGTTTATTTATTTATTTGGAAGAGTTATAGAGAGAGAAAGAGCAGAGAGAGATCTTCCATCCACTAATACACTCCCCAGATGGCCTCAATGGCTAGGGATGGGTAAGGCCAAAGCCAGGATCCAGGAGCTTCTTCTGGATCTCCCGTATGGGTGCAGGGGCCCAAGCTTTTGGGCCATCTTCTGCTGCTTTTCCTATGCCATTAGCAGAGAGCTGGATTGAATGTGCAGCAGCCAAGACATGAGCCAGTGCTCATATGGGATGCTGCTATTGCAGGAGGCGGCTTTTACCTGCTACTCCATAATGCCAGCCCCTTGCCCATTTCTTAGCTGTATTTGTTGTTGTTGTTTTTCAGTTCTTAAGCTCTTTATAGATTCTGAATATTAATCATTTATCAGTTGCATAGTTTGCAAATATTTACTCCCATTCTGTCAATAACCTCTTCATTTTCTTGAGTGTTTCCCTGACAGTGCAGAAACTTCTTAGCTTGATATAATCCCATTTGTCTATTTCTGCTTTTATTGCCTTTGCTTTTGGGGTCTTTTCCAAGAACTTTTTTGCCTATGCCCATGTTTAACAGAGTTTCCCCAATATTCTTCTCTAGTAATTTGATGCTACCAGGTCATAGATTTAGGTCCTTGATCCATTTTGAGTTGTTTCTTGTATAAAGTGTAAGATAGGGGTTCTGCTTGCAGAGATCCAATTTTCCCAGCACCAATTGCTGGAGAGACTGTCTTTCTCTAGAGATTTATTTAACTCCTTTCTCAAAGATTAGTTGGCACTAGAAGCATGGGTTGATTTCTGGGGATTTTATTCTGTTCTGTTGGTCTACATGTTTATTGTTGTGCCACTACCAGGCTGTCTTGGTTATAACTGCCCTGTAGTATGTCTAGAAATCTGCTATTATAAAGCCTTCAGCTTTGTTTTTGTTGTTTAATATTATTTTAGCCATCAGGGGTCTTTTGTGTTTCCATATGTGTTTTAATATAGTTTATTTTCAAGATCTGAGAAGCATGTCATTGTTATTTTAACTGGGGTCACACTGAATCCATAAATTGCTGTTTTGGATAGATAAGTATGGACAGTTTGATGATGTTGATTCTTCCAATCCACGAACATGAAAGATTTTTCCATTTTGTTTTGTCTTCTCTTTCTTTCTTCAATGTTTTATGATTTTCTTTGTGGAAATCTTTCACCTCCTTGGTAAAATTTGTTACAATGTATTTAAATTTCTTTGGAGCTATTGTGAGTGGTACTGACCTTATAAGTTCTTTCTCAGTATGGCATTTTCTGTGTATATAAAGACCATTGATTTTTGTTTGTCGATTTTATATATTGTAGCTTTACCAAATTCCTTATGAGTTCCAGTAGTCTCTTAGTGGAGTATTTTGATTCCCCCTTTATATAGAATTATGTTATCTGGAAAAAGGGATGATTTGACTTCCTCCTTTCCAATTTGTATCCCTTTGATTTCTTTTTCTTCCCTAATGGCTCTGGCTAAAACTCCCAGAACTATATTAGATAGCAATGGTGAAAGTGGGCAACCTGTCTGGTTCCAGATCTTAGTGGAAATGCTTCTAACTTTCCCCCCACTCAATATGATGCTGGCTGTGAGCTTGTTATAAATTGCCTTGCTTGTGTTGAGGAATGTTCTGTCTGGTACAGTGGGTTAAGCCGCTGCCTGCAGTGACAACATCCCATGTCAGCACGGGGTTGAGTTCTGCTTATTCCACTTCTGATCTAATTCCCTACTAATGTGTCTGGGAAACAGAGGAAAATGGCTCCATTGCTTGGGTCCCTGCACCCACATGGGAGACCTGGAAGAAGCTCCTGGCTTCTGGCTTTGGCCAGTCCAACCCTGGGCATTGTGGCATTGGGGGAGTTAACCAGGGAATGAAAAGCTTCTTTCTGTCGCTCCCCCTCTTCGTGGAGGAACGACACAGGACCCTGCGCTGTTCTTTCGTCTGCTCGGCCCTCCCCGGGTTTGCTGCTGGTTCTTCCCGGGTTGGCTACTATCCCTTCCACCTCCGTGGAAGGGCAGTTCCCCCTGGCCACATTCCCCACTTCCGCAGGGGAGCGGCACACCGCCGGCCGGCTTTCTTGGGGGCTGCACAGGTGTTCCTTCAGCTAGATGTTCCCCTTAGATGTTCCTGGTGCATGTTGTCTCTCTCCTCCTTTATAGTCCTCCTCCGCCAATCCTAACTCGGCTGCCCACACGCCGAGTACGCTGCTCTCCAATCAATCAGGAGCAAGTCCTACAGTTTATTGGCTGAACTGGAGGCAGCTGGGTAGAAGCTGTTTTCTCCTCTCCCAGCGCCATATTGTGGGAGAGCAGATGCATAGAATAAGTCTTAATTCCAGTAACAGTCTAGTCCGAGCTGCTCCCCACACTTTCTTTTTGTCTCTCCCTCCCTTTCTCTCTCTCTCTGTAGCTCTGCCTTTCAAATAAATAGAAAATAAAAGTTAAAAAATTGTCCTCTTTCTTTATTATGTCTTTTTCTGGTTTCAGAATTTAGGTGAAAAAATAAACACTTTATAAATTTGTGTTTCATCCTTGTGAAGGGGCCATGCTAACCTTCTGTGTATTGTTCCAATTTTAGTGTATGTGCTGCTAAAGCAAGCACAATGTTGACCATTTTTGTACAAATTTAATAGCCATTTGTATACCCTCTTTTATAAAAAGAATTATTTTATTTTATTTGAAAGACAGAGATAGAGAGAGAAGTAGAGCCAGAGATAGAGAGGTTTTCCATTCTACTGGTTCACTCCCCAAATGAACACAACAGCCCAAGCTAAGCTGATCCGAAGCCAGGAGCCAGGAGCTTCTTCCAGGTCTCCCATGTGGGTGCAGAGACCCAAGGACTTTGGCCATCTTCTACTGCTTTCCCAGGCCATAGCAGAGAGCTGGATCGGAGGAGGAGCAGCCAGGACTCCATCCGGCACCCATATGGGATGCCAGTGCTGCAGGCTGGGGCTTTAACCCACTGCGCCATGGCACCAGCCCCTGTATATCCTTTTTTAAGAACATCTATTCAGGGGCTGGCACTGTGGCACAGTGAGTAAAGCTGCCACTTGCAGTGCTGGCATCACATATGGGTGCTGGTTCAACTCCCGGCTGCTGCACTTAAGATCCAGCTCTCTGCTATGAACTGGGAAGGCAGTAGAGGATGGCCCAAATCCTTGGGCCCCTGCACCCACATGGGAGAAAGTTCCTGGCTCTTGGCTCTGGATTGGTGCAAATCTGGCCATTGCAGGCACTTGGAGAGTGAACCAGCAGATGGACGACCTCTCTCTCTTTCTCTCTGCTTCTAATCTCTCTGTGTAACTCTGACTTTCAAATAAATATATAAACCTTTTTTTTTAAAAGAATATCTATTCAGGGCACTTATTCATTTTTGAATCAGAATATTATTTTTTCTTTTTTTTTTTGACAGGCAGAGTTAGACAGTGAGAGAGAGAGAGAGAGAGAGAGAGAGACAGAGAGAAAGGTCTTCCTTTTCCATTGGTTCACCCCCTAAATGGCCGCTATGGCTGGTGTGCTGCGTCGATAGAAGCCAGGAGCCAGGTGCTTCCTCCTGGTCTCCCATGGGGTGCAGGGCCCAAGCACTTGGGCCATCCTCCACTGCCTTCCCAGGCCACAGCAGAGAGCTGGACTGGAAGAGGAGCAACCGGGACAGAATCTGGCACCCCAACCAAACTAGAACCTGGGGTGCTGGCACCGCAGGTGGAGGATTAGCCAAGTGAGCCACGGCACTGGTCATTTATTTCTCTCTCTCTCTCTCTCTTTACTTGAGTTTCTTATCATAATCTAGACAACTTCTGAATCTCCAGATATGATAAAATAAATTTCTATTGCTTAAGTGACTCAACCTATGGTATTTTGGGATGGTAACCCTAGAAACCTTATATAATTCATAACTCAAGATACATCATAGACATAAACAGAAAGCCTACATAATACAACTTATACAAGAAAATCTAAGAGAAAAATTTTGTTACCTGTGTTAGGTACAGATTTCTTACACAAGACACCCAATGGATGATTCATAATAAAGTTATACATTGCACTTCACCAAGTTAAGACCCTTTGGTCTTTGATAGATAAGTTAAGGGAGTACAAAGGAAAGCCACGGACTTGGAGAATATACACATATGATACTCCTACCTTGTCCACAGACAAGATGCCCAGTGGATGACTGAACCTGAGAATTTAATACCTTGTCCATCTTAAAAGAAATGATCTTGCACTGTTGTCACAGCTTTTGCAGTTTGAGGTGCAAAAGCATATGTAGCACACCTTCCGTTTTCCTTCTTCACAATTTCACTGCTAGATTAATTGTTACCACACATCATAGCAACCTCAGCACTCAATTTGTTTTTTCCTTATGAAGTCAAGAAATTTCACTTTTTCACTTACAGGAAGTGTTTTAAGAATTCTCATAGGTGTATTGGAATTGCCAATATCACTTATCTTGTTCTTTGGGGCCATTAATAAATGTGATGAGGATTACTTGAACACAAACCCTGCAATATTATGATTATCAGTCTGAAAATCCAAGCTGGCTACCAAATGAACAATGTGGACCTGGATGCATTGGGCAAAAGGACGAGTCATGTGCAGAGCAGGATGGAGGCAGATTCAACACACTACTCAGAATAGAACAGTGCACAATTTGAAATTTATGAATTGTATTTCTAGGCTTGTCCATTGAATGTATTCAGATTATGGTGGAATGCAGGTAACTGAAGCTGCATAAACCAAAATCAGTTGAGAGATGACCACCATATCTGTTAAATAATTTGTATCCAAAATATAGAAATAACTTTCCAAACAGAGCATTAAAATCAATAAGCCATTAAAATGGCCCAGTGATTTGAATGCCTAATTCACCTGTGAAAATAAATGAACGGCAAATAAACCCAAAAATGTGTTTAATATCCCTCACTAGTCATGAGGGAAATGCAAATTGGGGCCATGGGGTCATATCACTACATGCTTATAACAGCAGTTAAAGAAACACAGCAAAATGAAGCCAAATCAATAATTCCAAATGCTGGAGAGGAGGCAGAGCAACAGAACTTTCATTGGCTGAAAAGCCAAAATAGTAGAGTTCCATTGTAAAATATAGTAGCAGTTTTAAAAAATAAACCAAAGATAAATTTACCATAAGATTTCGCTTTCACACTCCTATGCATTGGCCTACGATGAATACAAACATATATTTACCCTGAAATCTTATTGTGAATATTTCTAGCAGTTTTATTTGTAATCAATCAAGTTGAGAACTACCTAAATATACTTCAGCTGGCAAATGGTTAAGCAAACTGTTGTACATTCACATAATAAAATACTATTCAGCAATAATAAGGAAACCTGTACTTAAGCATCATTGAGACGAATCTTAAATACGTTAGGTGAAGTGAAGAATGCCAGACTTGAAAGGCTGCATAATATATAATTCAATTTATATGACTGTGGAAAAGGCAGAACTATTGGACTGTGAGGACAGACCAGTTTACCTCAGCACTGTGACAAGTGCTTACTACAAAGGGACATGAGGACTTTTTTTCTGTGTGTGATGGAACCATTTTGTATCTGTTGTAGGACTGCTACCACAACTGCATGCATTTGTTAAAATGTGTGCTCTAAAATGCATGGACTTTATTTCGGGTACATGATAGATCAATAAACCTGGCTTTGAAGAAATAATTGCATAATAATTGGATTAGCTCAAAGAGGGAAAGTCTTCCCAAGGCACAAACCAAGAAAGTAGTCAAATAGCTAAAGGCCAGAAGTTTTGGAAACAAAACAATTTTAATTCTGCATAACAAAATATATTAATACAAGTTAAAATATTTTAATAGTAGAAAGAAATATATGATATTTTAATCAGATAACAGGTTGCTATACAGAAAATCAATTTCAGTTCACTGACATAAAATATAATGAAAATATGCTAACCTATATTGCCTATCAGGGAAAAATAGTTTAAAAAAATAGATACATTCATACATTCGATTGGCAAAAGCTGAGGGTATAGGGCAGGCAGTCACACTCATGCAATCTGGAAGGAGGAGGGCATGGTGGAATCTACCAGAAAGGCAGTTTTAGAGTATCCATCAAGTGTTTACTATTAACCCAGCAAGTTCATTACAAAACTCTATCCTTTAGATGTATTTTTTTTGACAGGCAGAGTTAGACAGTGAGAGAGACAGAGAGAAAGGTCTTCCTTCTGTTGGTTCACCCCCTGAATGGCTGCTACAGCCAGCGCGCTGAACCGATCTGAAGCCAGGAGCCAGGTGCTTCCTCCTGGTCTCCCATTGGGTGCAGGGCCCAAGCACTTGGGCCATCCTCCACTGCACTCCCGGGCCACAGCAGAGAGCTGGACTGGAAGAGGAGCAACCGGGACAGAACTGGCACCCCAACCGGGACCAGAACCTGGGGTGCCAGCACTGCAGGTGGAGGATTAGCCAGGTGAGCTGTGGCGCCGGTCTAGATATATTTTTTAAAGATTGCACCATATCTTTAAAAATGAAAAATTGGAAAATAGCCTAAATCAATGTCAACAGGGGAGATGTTAAATAATAATGTGCAACTACACTATGCAGCCAATTAAAGATGAAACCAGACGTATGAGTACATACATAGTAGTTTCTGGCAAGTGATGTGGTTAAAGGAAAAATAAATCATATTTTAATATGTAGATTTTCATCTCATTTATGTAAAACATTAGAAGGATTTATATGTGTATTATCACATAGATAAAATGACACTTTTCAAACTTATACCTGTTGAGGTGGTGAATGAAGAGAGACATTGAGATTTATGTTTCCACTGCTTGAATTGTTACAATGAAAAATATTATGAAATAAATAATTTGGGAAAGAAAAGAAAATGGGGAAAATATAGAATATGTAGTGTACTATCTGGCATAAAGTCTCTGTTTTGAAACACATTGTTTAGAAAATTTATAATTCTTCAAATATTTTCATGTGGCAGCACTTGAGCTGTGATCACTTAAACCATTGTAACTTATTTCTAGCAAAGTCTGCTTCCAGCATGCCATTATTCACAAGCTTTCACTGGAATGATTTGTCTTCATAGAAATTCTTTCTGCTTCCTTCTTTCATGACCCCTAGATAACGCAGACAGTCACTCTGGAATATGTGATAAATAGAACATTATGTATCTAGTTCCTGATAATGCCTGTATTACTACAGGGAAAATTCAGTGAGATTTGAATGTGTACGTTTTCCTTTTCCATCAGAGTAAGACTGAGATGGAAATATGACATGCTCGTATACAATAACTCTTTACAATATAGACAGCCCATCAAGTAGAATTTGAAGCACTTTACATGTCAGTGTTTTGCTTCTTTAGTGCCAGTCAGAGAGCAGTTCAGACTTCCATCTGATGGGAAGATTTCGCTATTAATCTCAGTCACCAACTTACTCTACTCAGAAATGCTGCACTGTCAATCAGTCATTATATCTCCTATTTTCTTGAAGGAGAATGTTATTAAACAACTTGCTCTAAGCCACATAAGATACCCGTGGCGAAGCCTATACAGAAATCCCAATTTCTAGTTCAGTACTTGTATCAACAAGTCTTGCTACCCTAAAG